AACAATATAATTATTAATAAGAAAATGAATAAAACAATTTCAATTCATTTTCAATATAGACGTTATGTAACTTTGACATATTTTGTTTCGAATATTTATTTTTTGGCAACATAAAATTCGTGATAGTCATCGTTCGCAACTTTAACATACAGAATTTTATAGCTTCGAATAGTTGATTATTTCGTACCCTTTTACGGTAAAACATCGTTCATAAAACATAGCTCATGAGGAACTATGTTTATGTACGATATATCGATGTTTGAAAGAATTGATGTATCGTTTGCATCCCCAATCGCGCATCGAATAAGTGCCCTATTCAAATAAAAATTTAAATATTTTCAGATGATGTTGCATAAAACGTATTTAAATTCAAATATCGTAAAATTGTCAAGAAGAACAATTTTTTTTATTAATGTTACCATGACGTAAACATTTGAGGGCTACTCAGCTAATCAAACCCTCAAATCACTTGAGTGATGTTTCTGTATTTCAGTTGAATTTGAGAGATGCTCAAATTTAGGGGACCTTTAATAAAGTGACAGATTTAAGTTGCGTTTCAGTATTCGGGCGTTAGTGTTATTCCACTGCACGGTGGAAGGGCACTGCAGACCGGGTCCAATTTGACGCCCTAATTAGGGACCCGTTATCGGTAAGTAACATAGATAAAGGTATAATAGATTTTATTGCTAAATAGGTAAATTATATCGAGAACAATTTTAAAATTTTGTCATTTATTTTGCATATTATATTTGCTTATTTAATACAATATTACATAATATTATATCACAAATACGAGTACATTTTAATCATATTTTTATCTAAACATTTTAAAAGGTATCTATGTCAAATTTAAATAAACCTATGTATAACAAAACTTATTAATATAACATTCAAATTACAAACATATTTATTTAAATTAGAATAAGAGTCGTTCGTAAATGGACGAATTTATTCCACTTTGACTTTGATGTGGAAACCTAAAAATAAAATAAAAAAATAATGAGCAGATTTAAATATAAAAAATTAGCCTAATTATGATTAATTCTATATGTTTCTACAAAAAAATGTATATAATAATATATTCATCCTATACTTAAGTACCCACAGAAATGTCGCATCTGAACAAATTAATTTCATAATCTATATTCCATGATACGAGATGGCGTCCGTGATACGCGGTGGAGGCGACTCCATAGGTTTGAATGGTCTAAGATTTTTTCAATCAGATGCTAAAACACTCGCGCATCTACGCACAATACAATATTTCACCATTTTTTAATGTTTTTTTGTTAAAAATTAAAAAATTACGGAGCGAATATATATTATACTCAGTAATCTATGAGAGCACGATTATTTTCTCACCAATGCCGTGAAGTAAGTTTGTACATAACTTCATCTACTTGTACTCATAAACAGCAAACTTCGCAGATACTACATAATACTTACCAACGGCAGTTCAGGAACAAGCGGTCTATGATTTAGTAGCACGTAGCGATCGTTCTTCTTCTCTCTAACCTCCATGGTCTATGGCTATGAATATTTAGTTCAAGGAGTTTTGGCAAGAAATTGGCCGTAGACGGATTATCGCTCCTGTTTTGTCGCTTGAATAATGGTTTGAAGTGGATTTTGATTCGTAAAAATGATGCGATTTGGTGAATTAAGTGTCCGCGCGTGTGAACTATTTAAGAAAACGACGAAACAAGTGGTCGATATAAACTGCATGTTATTTTGATCGCTTGGGCGCCTTATGAACTTGAGTGGCTGTCGTCATCAACTGTCCACTAGGTTGAGCTGAAATGAAGCTGAAAGCAAATCGAAAAAAGGTCGTTTTTTGAGTAATCGATCTTTTTTTCAATTTGCTTTCATTTTTTTTATTTAATTGGCTTTAATTGACGGAAATCTGATATCCGTCCGGGTGAGAGGTCAGCAGAAGATCCAACACGGAAGGTGCATGATCTTCCACATCTAGAATCCGCGTGGACATCATGAACAGATCTCTCTTTACTAGCCCTTCTGAGCTTATCATTTCTTTCAGAATCTTCATTTTATATATTTTTTCTTCACAATATGCTGATGCGAAGTTTTGGAAAGATTTTGACGACACCTCAACCCAGCAAGCTGTTGATGACGACAGCCACTCAAGTTCTAAGGCGCCCAAGCGATCAAATTAACTTGAGGTTTATATCAACATCAAAGCACTTGTTTCGTCGTTTTCTCTAATAGTTCACGCGCGCAGATACTTAATTCATAAAATAACATGTAACAGTCCGTCGTCGGCCAAGTTCCCGACAAAACTCGATTTGCTTTCAGATTCGTAGAAAGTACAGATCACCTAAGTTATTTTTTATTTCTTTAATCCATTAAGAAGAGGTGAAAGAAACAGAGCACACAGCAGTTTTGCCAGTTTTTGATTAGAAAAACTGCCGTTCTTTACGAGTTTGGGTACATTCAACTAATTGTAAATAATTTTATAGTTCTTATGGAAACAGAAAAAGATTAGATCTCGATTTTCTAAGGTAGAATATCAATTCTAGAAGTGAGCGATGCAAAACATATACTGATACGAAATCCATATTACAACAATATCTAAAAACCGCTTACTGGTTCATTCCTGTATTACAAAATCGGATATTTGCGTATCGCCGCGATGCCTATATCGTTTCGCGTCGGTCGGTCGCTAGATTCGTTCGATAACTATATATTATACAAAATCTGATATTTGTGTACCGCCGCGATACCTATATCGCTCCGCATTGGTCGATTAGTTTTCGGCTAGTTTCACCGTGTGCGACAGAGCGCGAGCCATATTGGGCGGGAAATTAAAATCTTATACTTGTAAACTACGCTGAATAATAAAAACACAACTTCACTAAATTTCACTAAATCTTAATAACTTCCTAGTATTTATTTTTCCAACTTTTTAAATAAATCCCTTAAAATATTGCGGTAAAAATGTAAAATAAACAGTAGCGAAGCCACCATAGAAGCTGAAAAGCTGAGCTTGCCTTATCAAACTGCTCAATCAATAACATCAACTAATAAAATAACTCGTAAACTGTTTCAAACTATTTCAAATTTCCCGCGCGCTGCTCTGTTCTACGTAAGTGATGACCTCGTAGCGATACTGCTGTCATAATAAAAAGGGGCTGAGCGATTACTTGTCTCTCTCACACGAAATATAACTACGAAATATTTACATAGCTATACCTATGAAGCAAAAAGCCAGGCTTTAGTGAAAAAATGTGCGCGGGCGATAGGTTTGCAAGTTCACTTCACATTTCTATGTTTACTCTTTCTTCTGTTTGTTTACTTGAGTAAATGTATATTGCCAGTTGCAAATTTGTGCTTTTTTTTAAATTTTAGTGAAAATGGAGAGTAATAGCGTTCCTTGTGATGAATTGAAGTGTGTTAAAGTGCTAATCGGGGAGAAAAAGGTAAAATTTTAAGCTTTGTTGAGTATTGAAAATAAATAACTAAATTATTTATTTTCAATGTCGTGAAAATAAGTTCAAAAAAAAAAATCAATGAAGAGAAATATCTTGGACTGATATTAGACTCGCACTTAACATGGAAACCACATATTTCTAAAATTTAAACAAAATTAACTTCTCTTTCTGGTGCCATACGGGGTATGGTTGTATGTTTACCGCACCGAGTTCGATATAATATATATAACTCTCCCATAAAACCGCATCTAGAATACTTGACTGAAGTTTAGGTTACCGCTGTGAAAACAAATCTAGAACCACTACAAAAGTCACAAAATGAACTAATTAAAATATTATTTAAATATGATTTCTTCACACCAATAAATCTACTGTATAAACAAACAAAATTATTAAATATAACTCAAACATATTTAAATCCACCGGAGAACCAAGTTTACCAACGTATCCTTCCGTATTTGCAGGCTGAAATGGCAATAGGCTGGTCACATTTGTCACAGAAGCGATAATCGGAGACCGCGTTTAGGTAAACGTAACGTGGGACGCCCCCTGGCTAGGTGGAGCAACGATCTGCGCAAGGCGGCTGCCAGCAACTGGATGCGTGAAGCCGAAGATCGGGCTAAGTGGCGCGCTTTGGGCCTATGTCCAGCAGTGGACTGCCGCAGGCTGATGATGATGATACATTTACTCAAATACTATACATCTACAATACTAATTCGCATCGAATAAGTAATAGTAACTATAAAATCTTCGTATCGGATTTCAACAGCGTATCAGAGTAGAAAATAGTATAAACGCATAGAATACCTACATATTGAAATATATAGTTTTGATATTAGATATTGAAACTCGAAATCTGAATATAGATACGATTCTCAGAAAACGCGATACGACCCAGGCCTAATTCACTGGATCGATTCAGTACCATATACCGATTTAAGAAATCGATCCTTTTGTCACAAAAAATCGATTTTTCGATTAATTGATCTCAGATCAACATGCCTAAATTACATTCTCTTTGGTGAAGCCTTGTCTTTTCTTTTCTGTCTAGCATTTGATCCGATAGGTAAAGTTCACTTATTTTTTTTCTCATTTCATTTTATTATTTTTCATTTAAATTTTCTATTAGACCAGAACATTTATTTCTGTTTAACTTATAGACGTACGTTCTGTTTCAGTATTTTCTCTCAGCCACAATGGTTGCGGCGAAGAAACAAGTAAGTAAATTTAACACGTGTTTTTTGTAGGACTTTTGGCATGGTAATTTACTTATGTTGTAAATCAACCTCCTCCTCAATAGTCCAACATAAAATTCTGTGCTCGATAGGCTCGCTTTTTTACTCTAATATGCGGGGTTGAGGATGCACTGTACAAAGTTAGGTTATATTTCATTTAGACGATGGTTTATGTAGAAAACTGTCGTGTTTTATTTAAAAAGGAGTTAGAACACTATATAAGTTGTTATAAATTTCACGTTTTAACTTGCAAGTAATGTTTATAATCCGTTTTCAGAAAAAGACCATTGAGTCAATCAACGCAAGATTGGCATTGGTTATGAAATCTGGCAAATACTGCCTTGGGTATAAGCAAACCTTAAAAACATTACGTCAAGGAAAAGCCAAGCTTGTCATCATTGCCAAAAATGCTCCTCCACTAAGGTGAGACTACTGAGAAGTAGAGTTTCCATTTTTATCAATTAGAGGGAAGCATATGGAGTCTTAGGGCAAAGAAGTATGGTTTTCCTTATGTTGACTCAAGTTGAAGCATTAAAAAATTAAATCTTAATAATAAAAGTCTTATTTTATCATTAACAGTTTATTCTTTTTTTTTTTTTCAAACTTGCATAAAGTTATAAAATCGCTTTAACTAAGTCATAATTTAAATGGGAACCCTATGGAGTAGTCCAAGACCATGTGCTGCTAGCTTTTGCCAGGTAAGATTAAAATTTCCTTGATGGGTTGTTAAAATGTATTTGTGGTAGAGCCACGCTCTAGCTATATTAGTTGTAGCATGAATTGGTCGGCTCAACCGGGGTAGGACCATGCTCTCTCAATACCAGCATGAAATAGCTTCTAGTCTGGTTTTGTATGGTTAGTGTAGAGAACCAGAAGCCCTTTTTTACTGGTAACGAGGCATTCCTTCTTTGTCCTAAAGGGTGAGGATGCATCTGCATTTTGATTCTTAATTGAGGATTTATGTATAGATTTCTATGGGTCACAGCTTCCACTTACTATCAGTGTGACTGTTGTGCTTGTTTGTCGCCCTTATTCTATAAAATAAAATACGCTTGTCGTTCAAACAGCTGGTAAAACTGAAAAACTGATTGGTTTATTCATATATGTTATGTCAAATATAATCTCGATAAAATTGCACTTATTGTCAGAACAATTTTTATTTTATCACTGCAATACTTATCATAATAGTTAATATTGTTTTCTCGTTGGTCTAGTGGTTGTAGTAGTATGACTGCTGATCATGAGGTCCTGGGTTCGAATCATGGGTCAGGCCAAAAAATTAATTATTGAGTTTTTCCATCAAGAAATTCTCAGTACTTGCCCAGAGTCAGAAAGTTGGCGGCGTCTCACTTCCGTGCCTCAGAAATCACGTAAAGCTGTTGGTCCTGAGCCTGATCTCTCTCCGGTCATGTCGGTTTACCGTCCCATCGGATTATGAGAGTGAGGGAATAGAGAGTGCACCTGTGCTTGTGCATACTTGGGCACTATAATCCTGTCCTGTGCCGATGTCTAATCTCCGTGAGGCAGGCCGCCATGGCTGAAATTCGGTCTGGAGGACATTCTTATTATTATTAATGGTTCATAAGTATTATACAAACCAATAATATATTTTAGGGTGTAGTGTAAGTAATAGAGAACTAAAGGCTCTTTTACTGGTAACAAGTTAAAATTTTGATTGTTAAGAAATATTCTTTTAGTAAGTATTATTTATTAGAAATTATTTTTAATAGTATATATAGTATAGTAATAAAATTTTCATTTATTGTGTATTTGAAAGAGTGATATTATCTGCATATTTATATTAGAGTGTTATGGTCACACAAGTTCAGTGCTTTTTCCCCATCCCAAGTGCCCAACATGCCTAAAGAAGTTTTTACTTCAAAAATCAGTTTTTGTTTTTTAATGTAGTAAAAGTGTATAAATAATATTTTGTAAATACCAAAACTTATATTAGAACAGTATTGCAATTGCTAGCTTCATGAATTTTTTTTAAATGCTGCAATAAGATATTGTAGGTTGGATAAAGGGCCCACCTTCATCCAATACAGCCCTCCGCCACCCTCTTAAGGATACCTACATCCAATTTTTTTAATGCCAGAGTGAATAGATTTTTTTACCTAAATCAGTGTACTATACCATCTTTTGCTGCATCAACACTTACTATCAACTGAAATATTCACCACTCCCACCACTGGCATATAATAGTTTAAAAAATTAACATTGTAATTTTTTTACAGAAAATCTGAAATTGAATATTACGCTCTTTTGGCAAAAACAGGAGTACACCACTACAGCGGAAACAATATTGAGCTTGGTACAGCATGTGGTAAATATTATAGGGTATGCACATTGGCCATTACTGACCCTGGTGATTCAGATATTATAACTACATTGCCTGAAGCAACAGCTTAAGTAATAAAAGGATTTAAAAAAATCAAATGTTTTATTTAATATCTTCCGAAGTTGATACCTTAATAATATACAGTATAAATCTCTTGTTATAAGTAATATCTTATTAAGCGTCACGTGTACTTTAAGTGGTAAGGCAGCATTAAAACTTTATAAAATGTAGTATTGAATGTGAGCGCGATGACCTCTTTACGTATTACATACCCCATACTTTGATAAATAAAATAAAAAATCAAAAACCCGACTGCAAAACACATTTTAAATGTAATGCACTAAATAGAAACAAGATTGAGAATACAAAACAAAATTAAAATAAGATATAAACGAAGTAAACTCTACTTCGGTTTAACAGACTATGAGATGAAAACCTAAGTAAAATATTAAGTTTAATAGCAGGCGGGGTCCATTGCAAATTACAAACCGAAAGATAAAGGGTTCTGCTTGCTACTAAATTTAATATTTTACTTAGGTTTTCAGCTCATATAGTCCGAAGTAGAGTTTACTTTGTTTATATCTTATCTTAATTTTGTTTTGTATTCTCAATCTTGTTTCGATATTTTTAGTGCATTACATTTAAATTGTCTTTTTTGCAGTCGGGTTTTTGATTATTTATTTTATTTAAGACTAATGTGCCTGTCTTTTGTGTAAAGATTTTTGACGTTTTTTCAATACCTATGCGACTTAAAAAGGTCAATTTACCTATATTTCCTGAAATAAACAGTGTTTATTTATTACATTTTTTTTTTCAAAACTTCAAAGTATACTGTTGACGTTCGTGTATGTGTGTTGATAGTGGAGCGGGTTCGCTGGCGGGATGTCGACTGGAGAGAATGCAGTAGCAGTAGGATGAGCAATAATAACACTTGGAGTTTCTTCTATTTGTTTTCTTGTTGTTATTTCTTATACTTGCCGGATTCAGAATGTGTGGTCTGACCACAAAAAACCCTTCTTTTTTATAGGCGCCATGACCAATCACAATTCTTAAATTTTGCGCACGGCACTAATGGATTCCCGTCAACCAATCCGAGCGGGAGCAACTTTTTCTATGGAAAACTTACAAATGCCTTTTTTTGTGGTAAAACATCCCTTAGGCTTAAATGTCATTTTGTACTGACGCTAGACACGAACTTCACGCTGCAATGGTTCGAAATAACTAGAGACGCAGCGCACAGCGTCTTAACGCCGCCTACGACGTCCATACGTCGACATCAGCTTGTGAAAGAGACCACAACAGTACATTTCTATAGTAAGCATCGTAACGCGGCGTACGGCGTGACGCTGTAAGCGGCCGATGGCGTTTATAGGAGACCACCGCCTTACAAAGTTTTTATACATAACTAACTTATATTTATCATATTACACACTAAGCATTCTTAAAAACCTTAATTTATACATTAAAATAATAGAAATACTGAAGCGGTCTTACGGTATAGCTTCCTAGTAGCTAAGCCTATGCAGGCGTTAGCGCACGTACCCCACGTCAAAAGAGTAACCCGTCACGCACGTTTTTACCTGAGTAGGCTCAACATTATGTTGGGCCGACACAGTAAAATGTCCCTCAGAAACAAGCGTACCCTTTATAAGTATACGACCAGTCATGTCCTACGCGGGCCCCATTTTTGCCCACGCCGACCCTAAAATTATTAATGAACTCCAAATAGTTCAAAACCTTTTCTGTCGTCGAGCTGCGAACGCACCTTGGTACGTCCGTAATGCCGACCTTCATCGGGACCTAGAGCTCCCTACAATTCAACAATTTCTTAAAAAACTGAGAACTTCTTCAAAGCCTCAGAGTCGCACTCCAACCACTTTATTCGTGAGGCAGCTACTTATGCAGCCCAACCTACCCCACCCTCTCGCTATCGCGTTCGCAGGTCGAGAAACTCTCACTCCGACCCGCCTAATAAACTATCAAACGACCTGAACTGCTTCCTGGAGCTCAGGCCAACTCTAATTAAATTAAAATATTCATAATTAATTTGCCTTCGTAGGCACTCCCTCAGCGGCTCGTAGCCGCCTGCGCCCTCTTTTCCCAAAAGAGGGTCGCTTCCGATACGGCATAAGAAAGCTTAAACAGCCAGTTGCCAGTCCCCAAAGGCGGTTTTTAGAGGGTAACACTTAGGTTCCCCGGGTAGGCAATGAGTCCCTCATAACCACGATAGACCGGCTATCGTGGTATGCGTAACGCATTTTCCGCCTCCCTACTACTCCCTACTATATAGGGTAGCCCTTTAATTGCTTCGGGCGCAAAAAAAATAGCACACGTAGCGCCGCCAGGCGGCAGGAATGCACAATATTAAATCATGACAACATCACGCTTGCTAATTCTAAAAACTATGCAGAGTATACTTAAACATCTTATTGACTATCTTATCTTAACGTAGTTCTAAGTTACAATAGAAACAAAATTAAATAGGTAATTAAATTCACATTTCGCCGCTAACATATACGGTTCAAAATTTATTGAAAACAATTTAAGGACGCGTTTGCAAATCAACCAAAATTAGGGTGTTTTTCGGTAGATTTTGTGACAAATCTAAACCAAATCAAATATAAGTAAAAACTACCATGTATAGATTGGTTCTTCATCTGCAAACGTCTGTAACTCTTTTGTTGAAAATAGTAGTTTTTTATATTGTAAAAACGAACTTTCGTTGCCATTTTCTACAAAATTAACGATACCGGCTTGTGTTTCGGTACATGTTTTGGTCTATTATCAACATATTTAAAAAATTTAAAAAATACTATAAGATGACAGACATATTCAATTAAAAAACCCTGGGTTTATTTTTTAACAAAATGTCACAAATAGTCGTAAAAAAAAATAAAAACTGATACACATTTTTTCACATATTTTGGTAATACGGATGAATCATAATCTATTGCAATAAGGGCTATTTTATTGTTGGTGCCTGCTTTGATTTATTGTACAAAGATTTCGATGAAACCACAGTCCGCGCTCGGCCGCCGTCGTGAGTGGACACTGTATCGCCTGTTTGCAGCGGCTCATTCTGAAAAGATCGCTGTACATACACAAAATATTAGAAAAAAAAAACAAATTGGAAACATAAGTACTTGACAAGTGATAAAATTATTATTTTTATACTCACAGTTTTTTATTTAGCTAAAAATAAGTAGGATATATAAACTTACCTACTACTGCAACTCCTGGACGAGTGGAACTAGTTGTGCCGAGTTTGGGCTCGTTTTGTTGGTTATGATGAGACCTTACCTCCGGACTTGTTGGCGTGACCTGAAGGTGTACTTTCGTGACCGCTATTTGAACTTCTTGCGGAGTAAAACTAGGGGTGGCGAATTTGGGCTCCGTTTTGTTAGTTATGACGAGTCCATACCTCCGGACTTGATGGAGTGACCTGAAGGTGTAAATCGGTGATTGCAACTGGAACTCCAAGACTGGTAGAACTAGGTGTGCCGAGTTTGGGTTCGTTTTGTAGGTTATGATGTGACCTTACCACCGGACTTGATGGAGTGACCTGAAAGTGTAGTTCGGTGATTACAAGTGGAACTCCTAGACTTGTAGGACTAGGTGTGCCGAGTTTGGATTCGTTTTGTTAGTTATGATGAGACCTTACCACCAGACTTGATAGAGTGACCTGAAGGGGTAATTCAGTAACTACTGCTGGAATTTCTGAACGAGTAAAACTAGGTGTGCCGAATTTGGGCTTCGTTTTGTTAGTTATAACGAGTCCATACCACCGGACTTGATTGAGTGACCTGTAAGGTGTAAATCGGTGATTGCAACTGGAACTCCTAGACTGGTAGAACTAGGTGTGCCGAGTTTGGGTTCGTTTTGTAGGTTATGATGAGAACTTACCACCGAACTTAATGGAGTGACCTGAAGGTGTACTTCAGTAATTACAAGAGGAACTCCTAGACTTGTAGAACTAGGTGTGCCGAGTTTGGGTTCGTTTTGTTAGTTACGATAAGACCTTACCACCGGACTTGATTGAGTCCGGTGGTAAGGTCTTATCGTACTTCTAAAGTCTGGAGTCCATCGACACCCATCCGTGTAAGACCCTCCTTCCACTAGTCTAGGAGTTCCTGTTGTAATCACCAAATTACACCTTCAGGTTACTCCATCAAGTCCGCAGGTAGGTAAGGTCTTATTATAACTGACAAAACCAGTTCAAAGTCCAGAGCTAACATCTCACTACCAGTAGAGGGCTTCCAGTGCCAAGCAGTCTTTGGAGCAGGTATTCATATTTCGTATCGAAGTATATTTCTGAGGTAGGTATAAGAAATGAAAAACAAATTCAATCATTCAAATTATCAAAATAATTTCATTTGACTACGATTCCCACAGCCAACCGTGCGTACACTAGTGTGTGTGTGACTTTTGTCAATGTAGTAGTGCGATTCTATACCTATCCATTTTGTAAACGCGTCCTTAAGTATTTGTTTTGTTTTAAATTTGGGCGACGGATATTAATAACTATTCTTTTTTTTTCATATAATAGCACGAGGTCCGACACAAACATTGCACATTTTATAAACCAGTTATTAAAAACTTTATTAACCAATTTATAATTCCTAATTAAATTTAACCATACAATAGGGCTGCCATACGTCCCGGTACACCGGGACATGTCCCGGTTTGAAGCGTTGTGTCCCGGTGTCCCGGTCAACAGGTCATTTGTCCCGGTGTGCACACAATTCGCAAGCTACCCCTGTGTAGTTAAGTGCAGCGTCTGCGATCGGCGAGTGGTTGAAGTGGAGCGGAGTCGAGCGAGCGAGCCTAGCTGCCTTCTTTGATTATTAACACGTGCGCGTAGGGTTGCCAACTTTTTCAAAGGAAAATAACGTATATTCCTTTCAGACGGTTATATACACTATAATTATTACTATTCCACCGAAACAACAAACGTTGAGCATAGAGTACAGAGTACAATATATACTGGAGACATTGACTGACACTTGACTGTACTGACAGTACAGATTTTTCGAAAGTTGTATGATAATGTATTTTGTTGTTATTCTGTACTGTGTATGTGTGAAAGTATAAAATGATTGGAAATTCTGAGTAATGGACTGAGTTAAATTCAGAAATTTGGCAGAATTCTTGCTTTCATTCAATTCACACAATATTTCACGCATAAGTTAGAATAAAGTATTTTAGATACTTTTTTCTTATTCAAAAGTATAAAGTATAATCAAGCAAAATACCGTAAGATACGTTATTTTAAAGTATAGTTGGCAACACTACGTGCGCGTCCCGCGCCGCGTGCCCCTCCGCCCTCGCGCCTTGAACGTCACGCGTCGTCGCAGTGTTTCGTTTGATTGCTTTAGAGAACAACGTACTTAATTTGCGCTGCGCGTTATCCTGTATTTCGTAGTTTAGTTTTTTTATTGCCAGTCTGGTATTTTGCTAAAAAGTCATGCCAAAAAGAAAGTGTTTGTTTTCGGACGATTATACTAAAGAGTGGTCATTCATTAAAAGAGGAAGAAATGATTATGAAGCCTTTTGTTCAATTTGCGGCTTTCATATATCTGTCAGTCACGGCGGTAAGTCAAGTGTCAAAGACCATATCCAAAGTAAAAATCACAAGACGAAATTATCAGTTGCATCAACTTCTAGAGATATATCGACATTTATGATCACGCAATGTACTGCCGAAGACATGTTAATATGCGCTGCCGAACTGACCACAGCTTATAAAGTCGTAAAGCACCACCAATCGTTTAGCTCTTTAGATTGTACGACAAAACTGAATGCCGTAATGTATCCTGATTCAAGTATCGCAGCAAAACAATCAACTGCAAGAACAAAAGCTACTGCTATCATTAAACACATTTTAGCTCCACACTCGATCGCGCAAATTAAAACAGAAGTCGAAAAAGTTCCTTTTTACGGCATTTCAACCGATTCTAGCAATCACAAAGCCGAAAAGTTATTTCCACTGCTGATACAGTACTTTACGGAAAAAGAAGGACTGCAAATTAAATTACTAAAAATAGACTCATTGCCGAATGAAACATCTGATACAATCACTTCATTTTGTATAAAATCGTTGCAGGATCAGAACTCCCCGTAAAATATTGTTGCTTTCAGCGGGGATAACACAAACACTAACTTTGGCGGAAGAGATAGGTACGGAGTTAACAATGTTTTTTTTAAATTAAAGGAGATTTTGTCCAAAGACATTGAAGGCATCGGTTGCCCAGCGCACATTCTGCACAATACAGCGTCCACTGCTGCCGATGTGATGTCGATTGACGTGGAGTCTATTGTTCTGAAAATTTTCAAGTATTTTTCCATATTCACTGTAAGAGTGGAACGGCTTAAAGATTTTTGTGAGCAAGCAGCAATAGAATACAACAATATACTCTCACATTCCAGAAGTCGGTGGCTTTCACTACTTCCAGCAATTGAACGCATACTAAAGTTATGGCTGCCATTGAAAGAATTTTTCGCTAAGGAAGCAAAAGCCCCAAAAGCTGTAGTCGATTTTTTTGCTGATCCCTTATCAGAAGTTTACACACTTTTTGTGCACAGTCAAGCATTTCTGATTGAAAAACAAATTAAAAAGATTGAAAAATCAGTTATTACCATTGTTGAAGTGAAAAATGTATTACAGGATACAAAAAAACAGTTGAGTGACAGATTGATAAATAAATATTTAGGCAATCAAACAACACAACTTTATAACAAACTAAAGAATGAAGGCACAATTAATACAAGTCAATCCGAAACATTTGACAAAGAAACAGGAGATTTCTTTAACACTGCTATATGTTATCTCGAACAGTGGACAGAGCCGATGACAAAATTTGATGTTTTCGCTTGGATGATTTTAAATGATATTCCTCAATGGCAACAAGTAGAAGAAACTACAAAATATTTAAATGAAAAGGATATAGGAATAGATGATTCAATGTATGAAGAATTTATGTACTTAAAATCGTTTATTGAATGTGAAATCAGCGATGAATGGAAAGCTAAAAATATGGAAGCAAAATGGAAACACTTTTTTGAAAAAACCGAAGAACTGGAAAGAAAAGCAAATCTTCTTAAAATGTGTCAATATATTTTTGCAATCCCAGGCCACAATGCTCACGTAGAACGAGTGTTTTCGTTAAATTTCAGCGCAGTGGACGAAAGAACGAAGTTCACTCAGTGTAAGCACAATCGAAAGCATCATTCAATGCGTTTATAATTATAAAATGTCATGCACGGAATTTTATAATTACGTCAAAGGGGAAAAGGAATTACTGAAAAAGGTTAAAAGTACAGAGAAATATGAATGGGCAAAAAAAAAGGACGTAGTGTAAGAGTTTCTTATTTTTTCGATTAAATTTTCTTAAATATTACCAGTGTTTTTGTATAATCCATGATTTACCCTATTTCTGTTCTAAATGTCCCGGTCGGCGTCTCGGAATTTATGGCAGGCCTACCATACAACCCATATTCGATAGGTTTGGTTATTTTTTTATTAACGTATTACTTACTAACGTATTTATTACTATTTTGCGCCAAAAATCAGCAATTTTGTTTATTTAAAAAAAAAGTTATCTAAGATTACTTGGGTGTTTAAGACGAATAAAACGATAGGTACCTTAATTGTTGAAATCCATCCCGCCGTTTGGAAGATAGATTACGAGGTAATGAAGAAATTTACAGACATAATGAAATTTAAACATACAACTTATATATATTATTGTAATTCCTTTTTAAATTGCTTTATTTTATTATTGAATTGCTTTATTTTGATAATATATTCGATAAATTTGGTTAATTTTTTTTAATTGAGGTATTACTATTATGCGCCAAAAATCTGCCATTTTGTTTATTTTATTAAAAAAAGCTACATCTAAGAACACTTGGGTTATTAAGACGAATAAAACTATACTTTAATTGTCGAAATCCATCCAGCCGTTTGGAAGATACGAGGGAATCTTAGTGCAATACACATCTACATATACAGACGTAATTGCGTTTTTCAAGTATTAATATACTTGAAAAACACAATTATTATATTAAATTTAGATGAACGAAAAGAACATTTTTTAGTCTACCTAACGTATAACTTTTAGATTTTGTCGTATTATAATGTACTAGTTCCAGCCGATGGCACGAGTTGTCGCCTCTGTTGATTAAGATAAAATTAAAACGCTACCTATGTGATTTTAAGATTTGGCAATCGACAACCTATTTGACTTTTTAAAAATGATCGCATAATCCAGTGTAACCTTGAACAATTATTTGTTTTGTTTACGGTAAAAAACATTGTGATGCATAGCCAAAACATCAATCAAATCAAAGATTTAAGTTGTACAATTTTTACCCGTGTAGTGGCGGTGTGAGAATATCCACTATACCATAGTATCCCTGAAAAGGAAACGCAGGTTCGGACGTCCTCTTCCGTCCGCGAAGGACCGATTGAAAAGGAACCCAGTTTATTCAAACGTTCAACTAAGAAACAGAAGGGAGGAATCGAGGCTTCTCTCGATCCGGCCTCCTATAACGCCTACGTTGGGTCGGGAACAACGTATGTGATCTCCGCAACGGAGTAACACACAAGGGCGATAACCTCTTCCTTTTCAGCAAGTAGGTTCAGACGGGGATTACGGGTCTTCCGAAGTCGTCCCGCTCCCAACGCCTTAATTCTTCGATGTGGACTGTATAACTTGAGGGATGAATTTCTTGGGAATAAAACAGCAATTATCTTCAAACCATTCCGTGAGAGAGTAATCACTTTTTCCTATCACTTCCCTACACTTTTTCTTTCTTCTTCTTATTGACTGCTGGTATGATTTCCGAACTTTTTCCCCGAACTATCTCGAAGGATTCCCGAACGAATTGCAGTTTTTTTTTTTTTTTTGCGCCCGAAGCGATTAAAGGGCTACCCTATACGTAGGGAGGCGGAAAATGCATTACGCATACCACGATAGCCGGTCTATCGTGGTTATGGGGGACTCACTGTCCTACCGGGGACCCTAAGTGATACCCCCTAAAAACCGCCTTTGGGGACAGGCAGCCGGCTGATTAAGCTCTATTGTGCCTTATCATGAGCGACCCTCTTTTGGGAAAAGAGGGCGCAGGCGGCTAAGTGCCGCTGAGGGAGTGCCTACGAAGGCAAATTAATGTTAGTTATTACAATTTTATTTAATTAGAGTTGGCCTGAGCTGCCAGGAGACAGTTCAGGTCGTTTGAAAGTTTATTAGGCGGGTCCGAGAGAGAGTTTCTCGGCCTGCGGACACGATAGCGAGAAGGGGGTGGGGCTGCATAAGAAGCTGCCTCACGAATTAAATGGTTTGGGTGCGACTCTGTGGCGTTGCAGAAGTTCTCAGAGAGTTTTTAAAAAATTGTTGAATTGTTGGGAGCTCTAAGTCCCGATGAAGGTCGGCATTACGGACGTACCAAGGTGCGTTCGCAGCTCGACGACAGAAGAGGTTCTGAACTATTTGGAGTTCATTTAAAATATTTGGGTTTGCGTGGGCAAAAACTGGGCCCGCGTAGGACATGACGGGTCGTATACAGACCTTGTAAAGGGTACGCTTGTTTCGAAGGGACATTTTACTGTGTCGGCCCAACATACTGTTGAGCCTACTCAGATAAAAACGTGCGTGACGGGTTACTCTTTTGACGTGGGGCTTGAAAGTAAGCCCTGTGTCTAGAGTGACACCTAAATATTTGGCGGACGTATGCCAGGGGACAGGGGTCCCTAGCATACGTATTGGAGGAGTGTTTTTGAGACGGCGTCGTTTATAATCGAAGTGAACGGCGGAGCTCTTCTCCGGGTTCACATCGATGCGCCATTTTTTGAACCAAGCTCCTAGGTCATCAACTGACTTTTGGATCTTGTTCCGTATGAAGGGTAGTGAGACACCTTTGCAGTAGATGGCAGTGTCGTCTGCAAAGAGGGAGAGTTGAACACCTTTCGACGGGATGGGAATGTCGTTGGTGAACAGGATGTACAGCAGAGGAGCAAGTACTGAGCCCTGAGGGACACCAGCCTTGATAGTTCGCTGTGAAGAAAGCGTGCCTTCGTGTCTAAAACGAAAGGTACGATGTTTTAAATAGGAGGCCACGAGACGAACTAGACGATCGGGGAGACCTATTTTATAGAGCTTGTAGATGAGGCCTGTGTGCCAGACTCTATCGAAAGCTTTGGCTATATCGAAGAAGACCGCGATGGTTTTATGACGTCGAGGGTAGAAACCGCTGAGGATATATTCCACAATGCGGTGAACTTGTTGGGGACATGAGTGTTTGGCTCGGAAGCCGAATTGGTGGGGGATGATGAGAGGGTCGCCGTCTGTGGGAAACAGAAAGCGCCTCATACGCGTTTGAATGACTCTTTCGAAGAGCTTGCCCATTGCCTTGAGGAGGCTAATGGGGCGATGGCTGGAGGGGAGGTTGAGAGGCTGAGAGATGCCATCCGCGCCCGGAGCCTTTTTGGGCTTAAGTCCTTTGATGAGAGATGAAATCTCATCATTGGACACAGAGATAGGTTCGGAGGCCGTAGGGGATGAGTTCCGGCACCTCATCTCCACTGCTGGACGTGTGAGGGGTCGACAGGTTGAGAACTAGGGGGAGCATTGAGCGGCAATGCTATCCGCAAAGCACTCAGCCTTTTCCTCGTCCTCGAAGGCAACCGTGCCGTCGGGACGGGAGAGAGGGGGGAGTGTGGGTGATAGCGTCTATGCGGAGGGCTCTAGCCATCTGGTAGTACGCTGTGTGAGATGGAGAGATATTCTCCATGAGCTTACTCTTTTCGAGATCTTGAAATTCAGAGAGGCGGAAGCGGAGTTTTCGTTGAAGACGATTGGCCGCGCGCCTATATTCGGGGGTGGGATATTTTGCTGCTCTCCGGAAAGCAGCTTTTTTGGCTTTTATTAGGTTGCTAATATGTAGGGGAAGCCCACTATTGTTAGCAACCGGGACGACCCTTTCGTTCTCCTTAAGGGAGGATTTAATAAGGGTGGAGAGTGAATCGACCGCGGTGTCGATTTTTTCGGGACTGTCTAAGTCCGTCGGTATGGAGATGGTAGAATCCTGTGAGTCCAGGGCTTTAGCTAGGGACTCCTTGAATCCCTTCCAGTTAGTGAAGGTTTTCGTGTGTGTTGGGGGGGGGTGGCTGATGGCCAAGAATGAGGGAGACCGGTCGGTGATCTGATCCTAGATCGTCTAGTGTCTCGATTGCTCTGAGGTTGAGAGAAACTCCTTGGAGTAACGCAAAATCTAACACATCAGGTGAGTGATCGGTGTTATCGGGAAAGTGAGTAACACCGAGAGGACTATGGACGGTGATATCAAGAGACTGCGTGATATCGAGCAGTATCTTGCCACTAGAGGACGTAGTGCGGCATGTCCATTCAGTATGCTTTGAGTTAAAATCTCCAAACATAATGACTGAATTGCCCAAGGATAAAATGGCCTCAATCTTTTTTGATGGGATAGGTTCCTGAAGGGATGTAACAGGAGGCTATGAGGATGGACTGATGTCCAGTCATAGCTAGCCTGCATACCGTGGCTTCCATGTTGGTAAGCTGCGGAGTAGAAATGGGGGAGCAGTGAAGTGTCTTCTTGTAATAGATGGCCGTTCCGCCGCCTCGGCGGTACATGTTCGGGTCTGTCATTACGAAGAAGAGAGAAGTTTTTAATAGAAAGGCCTCTAGTGTCCTTAGCTTTGAGATTAGTTTCCTGTAGGAGGAGGAAATCGACTTCACGATTTCGAAGAAAGAGCTTAAGCTCTGGGAGGTTATTTCGCAAGCCGCGAATATTAAATGATACAAGCGATAAACCCTTAGGTTTGATACGACCATGGGATCTTGGTAGGTTAGTTTGCTCAGGCATTGGAGTTAAGTTAATTACGTTAACTTAACTTACAACGCTAGCAGAAGATCGTTATGTTCGGCAAGAGCGAGGAGACGCTCTTGAGGGGACTTCGCCGCGCGCAGTTTGCGTGCTATAACTGTAATCTCTCTAACATCTATATTCCTAATCGCGGAGTATAGCGTGTTGTAGTCGTCTGTTGTGGGCTCTGCCTCGTGTGCGTACGAGGTTGTCCGCGGAGGGTCTGCCTTTTTGGGCCCCCAGGGAAAGACTGGAGGCTGCATTGGCTTTGAGAAGCCCGGAGGGGGGCCGAATTATGCCCTGAGGGGGCCTAGGGGGGACCCTTGAGGGGGCCTAGGGGGACCATGAGGGGGGCCTAGGGGGACCCTGAGAGGGTCGAGAGAAGCCCTGGATAGGCTGAGAGGGGCCCTGACGGGGCCGTTGTTGGAGGGCCGGGAATGAGCGGTCATTCACCGGCGGTGGAGCTTTCCTACTGGGGCGAGGTTGAGGTGCGCGTGGGCAACCCTTGTAGTTCGCCGGGTGTCCTGTCTGGTTGCACAGGACACAGGCGGGCGGGGATTCGGCGTCTTTGGGCCGGGGACACTCTTTAGTGTTGTGTGGCTCCAGGCACTTCACGCACCTGGGTGGGACGGAGCAGTTGGCCGCCGCGTGACCATAAAGTTGGCAGCGGTGGCACTGCGCCGGGAAACCGGGCCTATGTGGGGGCTCTACCTTCACCCTTGACAGGCCGCACACTGTGCGCACCTGCCGGAAGATGGCTTTAGCCTCCGGCACGTTGGACAAGATTACTAGGGCAAGGTTGTATCTCTTGCCCGTACGGTTGTGCATTTTGTGCACTGCTTCTACTGGGAAACCTTGGGACTTAAGGTCCTCGAGGATTTCCTCGTTGGAGAACTCAAAGGGGACGCCTCGGATGACGGCCCTGACTTTACGCTCTTCAGGAAGAGCGTAGGTGTGGTAAGAGACCCTTTCGGCTGTGAATAGCCGGGTGATGGCGCGGAAGTCCTCGATCGAGGTTGGGATGATTTTAATCGCCTCCCCGAGGTTGACGGCATGGTCGTATTTAATCCCTGCGTCGTAGCAGGTCTTGGACAATTGGGTGAACTTGGCCTTGTCTCTTAGGAAGACAGGGGGCGGGACTTGCTTCTTCGCCAGCTCTGGAGCACAACGAGAGGCTGGTTTAGATGGAGTGGGGATGTCTAGTGACATCAGTGGGACGGAGGCAGCGTCAAGGGCTGCAGAGGTTGAAGGAGCGGCAGGGGCCGCTGAAGTAGGGGGGTGCGTTTCAACGCGGCGCGCTTTCCGTTGCGCTTGGAGGTGACGGTGGTGAAGTTTGACTCACCGGTTCCGTCAGAGTCAGAGGACTCCGATGAACCGGAGCCTAAGGTAGTGGCGGGCCTCTTCCGGGAGGTAGACGCCGAGGATTCGGAGCATGCGTACTCCATTTCTAAGGGGGCTGCTTGTAGCGGGGCAAAGGAGTTCCTCGTTTCGAGGTATGCCGCTAGTACTGGCGGCGGGAGGTGTGCCTGAGGGGCAGGGATGGGAGCCTGGGCGGCGATGGTGGCGATGGCGGCGAGGACCGTCTCATTGCCACTTAACCCATATTGGGTAATGAGGGCGGCTAGGGACTCAGTAAGACTGGAGTTGGCCATTTTAGGTTGAGTGAGCTAAGGATAAGAAGCTAAAGATGAGAAAGTAAAGATGAGGACGGGTCCCTGCTCTCGGTAGAACAGGGACTAGAACGCGGGACGTACTACAACACACTATGCACGTAATAGTAAAAGTAAAATGCAAGAAAACACAAGAAAATAAGACAGTAAAAAAAAAATGATAATGAGAATAAAATGACAAGTGAAAATGAAAAATGAAAATGAAAAGCGGAAGTCAGTCAGACCTCCCTGCCCGAAGACAGGGGGGCAAGAGCTGTAGCGAGAAAGTGACTCACCGGCAGCCTCGACGCTGTTCCGCGTGAGCAGGACAGCGGAGGCGCGTGAGAGCGCGACAGCACTACCGTACTGTACGGGAGCGCGGACCACCAGGAGGCGACCGTCCGAGAGCGGTGCCGCCGGCGGACTGAGCACTGCGTCGGCGCTGTACAGCGCGAGCGGGACAGCGGGGGCGCGAGCGGGGAGCACTACCGTACAGGAACGAAAGCGCGGACTACCTGGATGCAACCGCTCGGAAGCGATGCCACAGGCGGAATGCGAATTGCAGTAAAACCCGTTCACTAAGCTACCCCAGAGCTATACGCGAAAGTGAGCCGCGCCATTCGCGCGCTTGCGCAACTCAATTACATGAATTTGTTCTATTACTCTCTCACGTTTTACTTAATTTCTTTATTTGCATAAGTCTTACATCAACATAATTTACCTGTATAGATAGCACAAAACAATATCTACACTATGATATACATTACATTTTCATATCACGAAAAACCTTTTATTTATTAAATGAAATATGCCTATTTTACTCACAAGTTCGAAGTCGAAATTTCTTAAATATTTAACACAGAAAGTTGAAACAATGTTTTCCACTTGAAATTATACATATGTTAACTAATACAATAGTTTAATTTACATTTTCTCTATTTATTTCACTATTAAAACACTTTTAAATTTCTTATACAAAACCATCATTATTTCACTTATACACAGGAATTTTCACATAAAAATAACACAGAATTCACCTTTTTTAGCACGTACAATCAACCTGAAATGTTTTATAAGTCATTTTTACATAAATTGCTGAAATTACAAACATTTTAAATTTTTACATATTCGGCCTCCTAAGGGCGTGGCCAGCGTGCTTCCGTGAACTCACACTATTTGAACAACTAACTTTTGCACGGCTCTCGGCTATCAGAAAAAATGAAAGTCTGATATACACCAATTTTAACAATATTGGGTGAATAAATGCATCTACACAATTTTCAAACTGTAGGAAACTATTTATAATCAGATTCTTATCAGTTATCATGTTTCTTATCAGATAACAATATAAGTGAATGTTCTCATAAATCAATCATGGCAAATAGGCATTTATTTTCGTGCAAAACATATCAAACTCATATAAAACAATACTTATGCAATTAATTTCCGTTAATTCTATTTATGCACAGAGTGATCATCTCGACCGGGGAACAAATCCGATCTTTAACTTTATTTAAATATTCCTTTGAATTTACATCATTGGAAAGATGATTTCAACCGGGGAACCAATCCGGTAACATAATTTATATCTTAAAATCCTTATGAATTTATTAAGCGATATTACTTAGGAAAACAATAAACTAGTCCGGCCTGGGAGTCGAACCCAAGACCTTCATATCATTAATTCGACATTTCTTCAAGATTTAACTAAGCATTTTCTTATTAGAACATTGCTATTGGACAATATGCCTTTGAGACGTTATTCGTCATCGGTTGACTTAATAAACTGAAATATTCTTATAGGCGCGTCGCCAACAATCCCATAAAACCAAATAAACCAGGAGATGAGTAGCAGCGTCTTTCTAACAACGACTAAAATTAAAAACTGCGGCTTCCAACTCGCTTAGCAAGGGTGGCAACAATGGCAAATATCACCCTATGATGCTATCTATAGAAGAGACCTATGTTCATCTTCATATTATTTCTGAGGGTTTGTTTTTTGGAATGGGCAGAATTTATCGCATTAATAATAAACAATTTTTCATCTTGCATCTTTGACGTTGCTGGCCAGCTCTGACGTAACTGATTTGTTTATGGCGTCATATCGCACTCTTAGTGCAACATTGACCGAATTTAAAATTTGTCAGTTTTTAGTTACGGTCAAAAACTGACCTTGTAAACGGAGCTCTACAATGTGACATTTAAAAAACACCTCTATTTCTGCGGATTTAAGTGATAACTTTTTTTGTGTCGTTGTTTCACTACGGTCCTCGCTTCCCCTCTTGGAAGCAACACCGACGCATACATTGCATGCGTCCGCAGTCGTACGAGGAGGTTATGTCTATTAACGTTGGCTTATTTTGAGATACGTCGTTGTTGCACAAAAATCGAGGTATCATTTAAAGATTTTTTCAGAATATTGACTGATTTCAAGACAGGTCGTTATTGTACAAAACATTCAATAGAAATATTGACCTATTTCGCTTTTGGACAGTATAAAATTAAAATGTTGAATAATTTTATGACACGATTAGAATTAAGTCATTGTTGTTTTAAAAACATGCGAGATTTTTTATCTTATATAATAATAAGTCACTATTTGTTAAATTTACTACAAAATTAAATGACTTATATAAAGTAATGTCAGTTTAGGAATAAAAATGTTTAAAAAAAATTAGGTTTTGTGTGTTAATAAGTTCTGTAAAAAAAGGTACTTCATAGCTTATTGTACGTTTTTATTATTACAGATAATAAAACAGCATACATATTCCAACATGGAAAAACGGAGAATGAAAGAAATATTTAAGAACCTTTCCTCTAAGGAAAGTTTAAATGAAAAATTGGTAAGTAAATTAGGTTTTTTACATGTAGGATCTTGGGGTGGCGGTGGAGAAAGGCAGTGTATCCCTTTTACACTTCCTTTATTCTTCTTTTATTATTATTTTAATTGTATTGATATTAAAACATCCTTTTAGATATGAAATTGTTTTCTTCGTGACGCTATAGTGTTTTTTTTTTCATTCAAAGGGCATACAAGATGGAATAAATAGAAAAGTAAGACGCCGATTCAGCGATGATAAGTTGGCGTCAGTCAGACGTCGGCTACAGTTCAACAATAATCCACTGTCGGCGGTACCACAAGAGACAACTTCTGAAAAATACCTTATTGAAAACAACAACAATAATATTCAGCAGGAAAATGACGTTGGTGACCACAATAACTATTCTTCGGTTACAATTTGTTCTAAAGACGAAAATTTATATAAACAGCAGCAATATAACATTTATACACAAGAAGACTTCACTTTATGTTCTTATCCAATTATTTCATCTAGGGATAAGTCTTTGCGAAAATCGCGTTCATGTAAGAAAAATTATGTAAATGACTCCGATCTAAGCGACTCGGACCCAACTTACACAACATGTGATCTGAAGGAAATAAAACGGAGCAAAACTGATCTTTTATTTAACAAAAATGACATTAACATGTCTAAGTCAAGTTCAAGTTCTCAAGTTCTCAAGCAACAATTAAGTTTTTTAGTAGATAGTGTCGCAAGCCTCTGCGTATTGAAACATGAGTGGCTATTTGAGCATCCAAAATACGATAACAAATTCGGCTATAATAAAATTACTATTAAACGCGTAAGCGGTAAATTAGTTTCTGAAGGATATCTATATTTAGACGTAGTGATTAATAATGGTTTTTTTAGGCAAAAGTTTTATGTTTTTAAGAACCTAGCGTGTTTTGCTGACGGAATATTAGGAGATGATTTTTTGTGGCAATATAACGCTATTATAAATTACGAATCCAGTTCATTTACCTTATCAAATGACGGAATCGTAATAAACTTGAGTGTTGATAAAATAAGGGCCATTAGACACACGCGATACCAGCACGGTGTGAAATAACAAATACATCGCTTATTCTTGTAAAGATGATAGCGTGGTTTTAGTGCAAGAGATTAGCGATGGAATTTATCTTGCGGGAGTGATATGTAAGCCAGTTAATGATAAAATTCCCTTAAGAATTTTAAATACAAAAATGAGGTCGTTACCTAAGATTTTTCAAAAATTCAAGTACATTCAATAATTAATTATGACGTTTGTCATTTCGAAAATGAGGACAAATCAGTACAGCGAGTTAAGACGTTGTTCGAATTGCTTGACCTCAGTTACTTAAATAGAGAAAAAAGGCTAGGTATCGAACAGGTTTGTGCTAAGTACGCAGATGTAGAGCCACGCGGCAGCTTTGCTGTCGCACGTATGGGCCGGCTCAAACCGGGGTGGTACCACGACCTCACAGAATACCGGCGTGAAGTGGAAGCTCTGCTTCCGCGTTTCGTCTGGTGAGTGCAGGTGGCCGGAGGCCCAAATCCCCCCCCCCCATCAACATGGTAGCGGAATTAAATGATAGACTACCCCAGGAGGGTACCAGCACCCCTGGAGAATCCCTCGCTGAGCATCCACGACCATGTTTCTCCACTTCTGAGCGTGGGTGCTCAGGCTGCCCCGCGTATTCTGGGGGGGGGCAATATTCCGCTCAAGACTAAAACTGCTCGGGGCAAACGGAGCAACAAGACCAAGGCGACCCCTGCCACGCTGTCCGTGAATTTCTGCAATATCAGGGGACTTCACTCTAACCTAAACGCCGTCCACTACCATCTCGAGACGGCGAGGCCGGCTCTGCTCTTTCTGACCGAGACGCAGGTGTCCTCTCCGGCTGATGTCTCGTATCTCTCCTACCCGGGGTACAAACTGGAACACTCCTTTGTGCCTCGGGCTGGAGTTTGCGTTTACGTCAGAGAGGACATCTGTTCTCGACGCCTCGGCAGACTTGAAGGTTCGGACCTGTCCATCCTTTGGCTACGCGTAGACAGCGACGACCATCCGCGCGTCTACGGGTGCCTCTATAGGTCCCATAGCGGTAATGCCGAAACAGACCGACTCTTCGACCACGTCCAAATGGCTGCAGATTCGTTGCTACAGCAGATCCCCTCCGCAGAGATCGTGATCCTCGGCGACTTCAACGCCCATCACGCCGAATGGCTCGGTTCACGTTTAACCGATCATGCGGGGAGATCTGTTCGTGATTTTGCCTTGGCATATGGTCTGACACAACTGGTTACTTCGCCTACGCGGATTCCAGATGTGGAGGATCATGCACCTTCCCTGTTGGACCTTCTGCTGACCTCTCACCCGGACGGATATCAGATTTCCGTCGACGCCCCTTTAGGCTCCTCGGATCATTGTCTTGTCCGGAGTGTGGTGCCACTCACGCTGAAATCGCGGTTGCATTCTGCAGGCTGCCGCCGTGTTTGGCACTATAGGTCAGCTGATTGGGATGGGATGCGGTCTTTCTTTGCATCCTACCCTTGGGGGCGGGTTTGCTTCTCGCCGGATGATCCCAACGTTGTTGCGGATTCTGTCGCTGATGTGGTACTTCAGGGTATGGAACTTTTTATTCCTTCCTCTGTGGTGCCCATTGGAGGCAAATCTCAACCATGGTTTGGTCGCTCCTGTAAAATAGCATCATGCTATAAGCAGGAGTGCTACCAAGCCTGGGCTGACGCATCAGCGTCCAGGGATGTAAACACCAGCGCTCTAAAAAAGAAGTATAATTCCGCCTCTAGGTCCTTCAAAAGAGTCATTGCCAAGGCAAAGTCAGAGCACATAGGCAGAATTGGCGAGAGACTAGTTCGTCTTCCTTCTGGAACCCGTGCATTCTGGTCTCTCGCCAAGGCTGTCCAGGGAAATTTCTGTCAGCCATCTCTTCCATCTCTGCACAGGGAGGACGACTCACTGGCCCACACCGCAAAGGAGAAAGCCGATCTTCTAGGCTCTTTCTTTGCGTCTAACTCGACTCTCGATGACGGGGGGAGTACGCCGCCGACCATCCCGCGGTGTGAGTGCTCCATGCCGGAAGTGCACTTCACTCAGCGCTCGGTTCGCAAAGCACTCCTCTCCCTGGACATCCATAAGTCGAGTGGGCCTGATGGAATCCCCCCAATTGTGCTGAGGACGTGTGCTCCAGAGTTGGCACCGGTTTTAACGCGTCTTTTCCGGTACTCCTACTCCCTAGGCGTAGTCCCAAAATCATGGAAGACGGCTTTCGTCCACCCGATCCCTAAAAAAGGCGACCGCTCAGACCCGTCCAACTACCGGCCTATCGCCATCACCTCCTTGTTCTCCAAAACAATGGAGTCCATTGTAAACTGCCAGCTCATGAGGTACCTTGAGGATCACCAGCTGATTAGTGACCGCCAATACGGTTTTCGCCGTGGTAGGTCAGCTGGTGATCTTCTGGTCTACCTAACTCACAGATGGGCGGAGGCAGTAGAGTCCAAGGGGGAGGCATTGGCCGTTAGTTTGGACATTGCGAAGGCCTTCGATCGGGTTTGGCACAAAGCGCTTCTTTCGAAGCTCCCTTCCTATGGGCTTCCCGAGAAATTGTGCGATTGGATCACCAGTTTTCTTGCAGATCGGAGCATCAAGGTCGTTGTAGACGGTGCAAGCTCCGATTGCAAGCTTATTAATGCTGGTGTTCCACAGGGCTGCGTGCTATCGCCAACGCTGTTTCTTCTGCATATCAATGATATGTTGCAAACCCGTAGCATTCATTGCTATGCAGATGACAGCACTGGTGATGCTCTTTACACCGGCCGAGCAAATATTTCTCGGGAAAACGTCTCTGAGTGCCGGGACAAACTTGTGTCTGAAGTCGAGTCTCTGCTGGACAGAGTCTCGGATTGGGGGCGACTAAATCTAGTCCAGTTTAACCCCCAGAAGACACAAGTTTGCGCGTTAACCGCTAAAAAGAACCCCTTTGTCGTATCCCCTCAGTTTCAAGGCACTCCCCTTGTTGCCTCAGCCAGTATCGGAATCCTCGGCGTCGACATATCGAGTGACGTGCAGTTTCGTGGTCACTTGGAAGGGAAGGCCAAATTGGCCTCTAAAAAGCTTGGCGTGCTCAGCAGAGCGGGACAGTATTTCATGCCGGCACACCGCCTGCAACTTTACAAGGCGCAGGTTCGGCCGCTCATGGAATACTGTTTCCATCTCTGGGCTGGGGCTCCCCAGTACCAGCTCCTTCCACTTGACCGCATCCAGCGCAGAGCGGCTCGAATCGTCGACGACCGAGTGCTTTCCGATCGGCTCGATTCACTGGCGCTGCGAAGAGATGTTGCATCTCTTTGCGTATTTTATCGCATCTATCACGGGGGAGTGCTCTGAGGAATTGTTCGGATTAATCCCAGCCGCCAAATTTCGTGAACGCACTACACGGCAAACGTCCCGATACCATCCACACCATCTGGATGCTTGGCGGTCCACCACTGTACGTTTCAAAAGGAGTTTTCTTCCGCGTACAACCTCTCTGTGGAATAATTTACCACCGGTGATTTTTCCGGACCGATACGACCTGGGGACCTTCAAGAAAAGAGCTTACTCCTTTCTAAAGGGCCGGCAACGCACCTGCAATTCCCCTGGTGTTGCGGTTGATCATGGGCGGCGGTAGTCACTTAACATCAGGTGAGCCACATGCTCGTTTGCCCCCTCTTCTATAAAAAAAAAAAAAAAAAAAAAAAAAGATGTGTTCCACTTGCTAGGAGATTCTTTACCCGTAACCAATTTAATGGAGCATAAGTTCGTTTTGAAAGAGAATGTGACCCCTGTTTATGTCAAACCTTTTCGTATCCCCCATGCCTTGAAAGGTGACGTTGAAAAGCAGGTACGGGAGATGTTGACAATGATAAAATCGAGGTGACTGTCTCCAAATGGACCAATCCTGTTCTTTTGGTGCCAAAGATAGCTGATAAATCAAACGAAAACAAATGGAGGTTAGTAACCGACTACAGACAACATTAAAATGAATGAAATTTTAGATTCAATTGCAGGTAGTATTTATTTTTCTAAATTAGATCTTTCTCAATCATACTACCAGCTCTCTTTAAATCCTGATTCACGAAAATACACTTCTTTTAGTTTGAATAAGATGTACCAAATTTCTTTGGGCGAAGGGTCACGAAAATAAAATACATTTACAGCTGGAAATCAATACTAAATGAAGCGCTATCCAGATTCCCAAAGGTCTGTTTATAAACTTTTACGCTTTTTTTAACCCTGCCCACCACTTAGTTCGTGTCATGGACTAGGCTAGGTGGCTCTCGGTGACATCACAAGATCTGAAAAACATGCGCGGAAAAGTCGAGAATATGATATCGATTTCGGCACGGGCACAAAGTAGAACTCTTAGGGAAAGTACTGAATTGACAATTGATGCTTCATCAACTGACCGGCCTGATCAACTAGTCGCTGTGGAGGTACTCAAAAGACCTGACGATATAATTGTATTACGTTTCTCCAAAAAAACCTTGTGAAAGATAT